ACAGAAATGGGAAGTGAAGGTGTTTCCACTCCCAGAGAAGATGTTGCAAACAGCATATCCCTTCACTTTTATGTGGTTTAGAGAGCACATCCATTTTCAGTGTTCCATCACTTGTCCATTAAAGCAATGAATTACAAATAAACTCACATAACCTTATTTGCGTCTTAAACTCCAATTTTTAGGTAGTCTATTTGCTGTGCTAATGAGAAATCAAAGAAGCACAATCAATCCTAATATTTGAGCTGTGCAGCTCCCATCACGACATCCTGTGTTAGAATAAAGTCCAACCTGGCAGAGAAAGTCTTAGACCCTAATTTGTTGGCTTCCTTCATCCATCTCTCCCTGTTCAGAACCTTCTCATCTATGGACACAGAGCTTACCAACCCATCATTCTTTCTTCACACGTTTTCCCTCTAAGGTCCTTTGTAGGTTTTGGGGTTACAAAGTTGAATATTAGAATGTCATTGGTCTTATGCTGGATCAGGAGCTCTATATTTAGCATCTTGTTGACAAATGTCTATCTTACATGTTCTTAAGAGAAATGTTATTAGACATCCATCCAGCTCACAAACACTCTGCAGTTTATTTGCTCCTGGAGCTTGTCACCTGTGCTCACAGTTTGTTCCCTCATCCACCTGCTCCCCGTGGTTTCTTTATTCAGTCCGTGCAGGCCCCTTTGCATCCTTCTCCTCTTCCTTTGCATAAATCTATGGAATGCAGTCCATATCCCCAGGGTCAAGTGCATGTATCTCTTCTGTTCTATAGACAATAAGATCACCGTTATTACTTAACATTTCCTCTTAATTCGACTCAGAACTCCAGAGTCAAAATATCCAGAAAGCAGAAATCATTATCTTTTCCTCAGATCTGCTTTCACCAAGGTGTGCAATTCAGGAGAATTCAAATATTCTTCCAACAAATATGTGCTGACTTTGCCCATTGTGCCACAGTTTCTGGGCTTTGTAGATATTACGGTGACATAACAGGGGGAAATTCCTGTTAACATGGAGCCTAGATCCCAGCAGGAGAAACACGCAGTGCAAGACACAGAATTCCTCTTGGCTTCTGGAGCCTACTCTTGCTGACTGAGAGCTCCTCACCTCCCTCAGGAAATGGACACGGAGATTCTCTGTGCTGGGTCCACAGCCTCCCCTCAACTGCACACGGCTCTGAGCCATTCCAGGAGCCTCGTGCAGGAGCCTAGCCCTGCTCCCCCGGCCTTGCAGAGTCTCTCAGTGTGGCCGCATCCCACAATTTGCCCACTGTATTCCATGCTTTACTCTGTAATCAGAGCGATATTGGAAACACATGTATCTGATAAAGGCACCTCCCTGCTTAAAACTTTCCCACAGTTTCTCTCCCCATCAAGATTATGCAATGCTGTTGAGTGTCACGTTCAAAGTCTCTGTGTGTGTGTGGCCATCATTTTCCCCCTTCCTGCCTCACCTCTCCCATGGAGCCTGTACAAAAGCACAAGTGGGGCTCCCTTGCTAAGAGGATACTTAACCCTCAACCCCAGTGCCTCATTCTCTTTGAGCACTTCTGGTCCTCCTGTCCCACTGTTGTCCCCTTCCTTCAGGACCAGGCTCACACATCACCTACTGGAGATATTAACAGGAGCAATTATGTGTTTGTATTATAATAATTTACAAGGAAATCAGCAAACATAAATCGAACACCCAGTGTGCATACTCTCTTAAATAAAATTTAAGGATAGAAATATTGAACAAAAGACGTAATTATGATACTTATCATCATTTTTTATCTCATTAGTTGACCCTGTTTACATTCTCCAGAGAAGTGGATGCATGTCGTGTTGTTACTTTTTATTTAAATGTTTCCTATTTCCAATTTGGTTTGTGAAGTATTGTCCTTGGACTGAGTCAGAGATCCAGATCCGTGGTAAGAAGAGATTTTGTAGCATTTGAATTCAAGAACATCTTTTCTATGAGAATCTGTAAAGATGTGACACATGACAGAGCCTGGAGGACTGTTCCTCATGAGCATTTCATTTGAAAACTGTGACAGACAAGGGCTTCCCTGCGTGTGGGGCAGCTCGCAATCTAGAACGTCCTCTGCAGGACCAAGGGCGCTGCTCTCAGCAATTCTAAGACATCGCTTCTTTGACACAAGATGTTTGTTTTATCTCCATTTTGAATGGAGAAATTCTAATAAAAAATGACTTAGAATGACTATTTTAGTTGATTTATTTATTTTCCTGTCTTCCATCAGGTAATGGGACTTCCCTTTGATTCCAGTTTCCTGAGAGATTGTTTCAAAATCACAAACAAGGTTCGACTTTTTATCAAATTTTTTCTGTTGAAATGATCAATGGTTTTTTGTTAATGGATCACAAGCCTGTGGTATGGAAATAGTGAACACTGACCACCGCCTCATCCCATATGTAAAACTCAATTTGATTTGAATCATAGTCATAAATATAAAAGCTAAAATCATAAAAGTTGTAAGAAAAAATATAGTCATATCTTTATGTCTTTGGAATAGACAAAGACATCTTAGATTGAACACAAAAATTACTAACCATAAGAGAACAAAATAATAAATAAGTTACCTAACATTTTGGAATATTCCTTGACAGGCGAGTAACCTCAACAAGATGATGGAATAGGAGGCCCTCCACTCGTGTCCCCACTCAGCAACCATGATTTGGTGGCCATCCATTGACAAAAGTGCCTTTTTGGGAGCTTCTGGATCCAGGTAGGAGACTGTAAAATCCTGACGGAACCCAAGGCTGAGGAGTGGTGTCTGAGAAGGCAGGCCCGTGCTCAGGGGGTCCTGGCAACAGGCCCAGAACAACACCATCCCCCTGGGGACATGGCAAATCACTTTATTGCCTTCTTCCTGCCACCTGCACCACTTGGCCAGAGACCCAGCAGGAGTCACTCCGGCCCATGCCTCAGTTAGCAGCCCTGACAACCGTGTCCCTGGCTGTGAACCGTGAAGCAGCCCATGATCCAGTTCCAGCCCCTCTTAGCCACAGTCCAGGAGCAATCCTGCCCAGCCAGGCAGCAGACAAGACACATGCCCATCAGTGCCCCTGGAGACAGGCCTGCTGTCCTCAGTCTGACTGGGAATCTGGAGGCAGCTCTGTGCCCTGGCCCCAGCCCTGTGCAGACTGCTCTGTGGGCACTCCTGCCTGCCCAGGAAATGGGCTGGGAACATGCCCATCGAAGTCCCAAGAAGCAGGCCTTGGGACAGACACCAGTTCTGGACGCTGAAGCAAACTTCTGTCTCAGTACAGCCCTTATCAGATGTGGCCCAGGGCCAACCCTGCCCAACAAGGAAACTGTCCAGTTCCCAGGAGGGAGCCACACCCATCCATCCACTATTTTCTCTTTGTTCTAGGGTAAAGCATTGCCCAAGTCCTACTAATCACTGTGCTGAGGGGATGTCTTCCTTTAGTTGCATCCATCACTCTTTGGTTTCTACGAGAGTTTTCTTGATTTCTCCTACTAGACTCTGCCGGCCTGGGACATGACCCCCTCCTAACACCTGCTTCCCAACACAGCCTTCCAGTCCCCACAGGGGATGACTGGTATCAAGATGTGTGCACCATGTGCCTTGACCTTGCCTGGTGGGAGAGAAGACGCCCTGCTCTGAGGCCTGAGGTCCCATCTGGAGACAACTCTTGGTGTCTTCAACCTGTCGTGTCTTATTGGCCGATTTTCTTCATCATATAAATGAGAAGGGAAGCCAAGTAGGCATTATCAATGCATTTTGCATAAAGTAACCCTCTAGAAGCATTTAAACATGAACCCGTTACAGAATCCCACTAATGAGGTTCAGATTAAGTAATCTGGTAGAAAGTGTCATTTTCTGGCTTTTTCTAACTGGAAAGTTTCTAATATGATGGCAGCATTGAGAACAAAGGGACTAAGTTCCTCCTTCATGCACTTTCCCTCTAAAAACGTGCTGAAATTCAACAGGCACAGGTGAAGTTTTCATCAAACGTAAGATGAGAGTAAACAAGAGATGTGCATTACTAGAATTCCTAACAAGTAGTCCCATTTGTGAGAGCTGATCATATCTCTTGAAAATGTGAGTGTCAATCCAGCCTCAATTAGATGGCGCCATCACATTGTCTCAATTGATTGACTCACCCACCACCCACACTGCTCCCAACAGCCCAGCCTCGGTCCCTCTTTTTCCCAAACCCATCCTTCAATCCCTCCTTCCTCCAAGCCATTGGTTATCTGAATTTTCTTCTCTATCCCACCTGCTCCACCCATTAACCAGACCCATCGTCTAACATTTGTGTGGTCCACAGTTCCTACCTAGTCCCTACCTACATCCAAACCTCCTCCTCCTTCAGTTTCTATGCAGCACTTGGGCCTCATAAACAAATCGGATTCTGTTGCTCCCCTGACAACCCCTCTAATGCTCCCATCTCCACCCCACCAAGCTCACCCCTCCTCACTCTCCCAGGACATCTATCCTGTACAGTGTCTTTTGCTTCTTTGTACTCTCTCTTCCCCCAGACAGTGTCACCACCCAGAGCATGGAGACCCTTCCTGTCTTGTCCACCTACTATCCTGAGGCCCTACACCCAAGTCTGACCCATAGTAGGTGTTCAGTAAATGGTGTGGATGCACATAATCTGGAGAGTCAACTAGCCTGAGTCAAACACAGCTGGACTTTGTTTCCCTGTTTCTGTCCTGACTCCTTGAAATGGGCTGAACTGTGTCCCTCAAAACCCTATGCTGAGACCCTAACCCTGTTGTGACTGTCTTAGGAGATAAGGCATTGAAGGAGGTAATTAAGGTAATTAGGTCATAAGGGTGGTGCCCTAACAAGTGGGGCTGGTATGTTTATAAGAAGAGGAAGAAAACCAGGGGTGAGTGCACAGAGAAAAGGCCCTGTGAGGACACAGCAAGGACCCAGCCTTCTGCAAGCCAAGGAGAAACCAAACCTGCCAGCACCTTGATCTTGGACTTCCAGCCTACAGAACTGTGAGCAAACACATGTTTGTTGGTTAATCTGCCCCATCTGTGGTATTATGTTATGGCAGCCCTGGCAGACTCACATACCCCTGGTGGACTCTGTCCCCAGGGCAGCCTGCCCCAGCATCCAGGAATGTCTACTCGATTAGAGAAAAACAGAAAATGGATTGAAACCAAGGACCAGTTGTGGGGGCAGACGTTGAGAGCATGAGCACACATGTTCAAGAGAAAGCTCCCTGAACTGAGTATCAGAGCTGCTTTTGGCCACACAAACAAAGGAAGCAGCAGACGTGGCCGAGGAGTGGGGGCTGCACAGGGAAGCCCCTTGGCTGAGGGCACAGCAGGTTTTTGTCTCACTTCCCCATGGGCCTGCATCACTGTGTCACTACTATCACTGCTGTAATAGGAACCACAGTAATAATCGGCCTCGTCCTCAGCCTGAAGCCCAGAGATGGTCAGGGTGGCTGTGTTGCCAGACTTGGAGCCAGAGAATCGATCTGGGACCCCTGAGGCTCGTTTGTTATTACCATAGATGAGGGTTTTGGGGGCTGTTCCTGGGATCTGTTGGTACCAGCCCACAGCACTATAACTATACCCGATGTTGGAGCTGCTTCCAGAGCAGGAGATGGTGACTGTCTGGCCCAGGGTCCCAGACACTGAGGCGGGCTGGGTCAGAGACTGGGCCCAGGATCCTGGAAGTGAGAGAGACACAGACATGGTGATTCCAGGGACTAGAGACAAAGGGAGAAAGCAGGGTCCCACGCATCTTCCCAAGGCCCCTTCCCTTGTCCCCATATGTAGTCACCTGTGCAGAGAGCGATGAGGGTGAGGAGGAGAGGGGACCAGGCCATGGTGGAGATCTTCACCGAGTCCCGCCTTCTGTGGCCCCACAGCTGAAGCAGAGCTTCCCCCTGATCTCTCCCACCCCTTCTTCATACTCTGAGAGAGGGAGGGGCCACACATGCAAAGCAGAGCCCCCGCTTTCTGATCTCTCACTTGGCCTTTGCTCAGGTGCCACTTCCTAAGCGTGGCCCTGGGGTGGGGCGTTCACAGCTGTGAGCCCTGAGCAGAGGGCACCAGGCAGTGCTAGGTGGCTGGTGGCAGCTGTGATCCCTCACGGAAAGCTGAGGAAGGAGCACTGAGCGCCCCCTGGTGTCCAGGCCCAGACTGACTATTGTGTTTCAGGGTGACCCAATCCCAGCAGACAGTACCCCCATCCCCACTGCTCTGTTCACTGTCCCCCTGCATTAGGGTCAAGCCAGGTGGCCCCTGTGTAGCCTCCACATCCCCACAGGTCAGTCTCTACTCAGACTCTTCAGGAGTGAGTCTGTCCACAGCTCCTTTAGCTGTTCAGTGGTGAGGACTGAGGGGGTGTCTCGTATACAAACTCCTCTTAGATCAGGATCAAGTGCAGAGCAGTGACCGGCCCCATGGAGGCAGGTCCCCTTCTGTGCAGGACACAGATTCTTTCCTCGTATGTGATCCCTCCCTGTTAGGGATTTAGCAGTGTGTCTCCAACACTCAAAGACTTTGCTCCAAACGTCCTATTCCTGGTGGAATGTAAGTACTTTGGTTTTTGCTATGCTCTTTGACCAATCATTGCTGTTTACTGGTCTCCTCACTAATGTATGAGGTGAATAAGATATTTTACATGGCTCATTCTCTACTTGTATGAGAGTCAGGTGTTCACTTTTTTGAGTCAGGCTCACTCTGTTCCCAGCTCCAGGACACAGAATAGGAAGCTAACTGGGACAGAGCACCAGAGACCTGTGCCCTGTGAGATGGAGAATCTCAAGAATGAGCCCTCAGTAACCTAAGGAATCACTTCCTTGGGGAACGGGACACAAGGCATCTGGACTGCAGTGTGTCTCTAGACATCTGTGAGCTGGGCCTCTGGGACTGTTCCTCACCTGAGAGAGGAGGCAGTTACAGGGGAGGAGCCAAGGTGATGGCAGGCAGTGGCCACTAGTGTGGGTTCTTGAGATGAAATCGCCCTTCTCACCCCCTCTGGGAAGAGGATGTCCTCATGAGGGAGTTTTGCTCCTTTCTATCTCTCCGGAGACTATTGAATTTCACACCGGGACCTCACTGATTGCAGTGGGTGTCATTGCTCCTGAGAATGACCCTTTGCAGAACATTAGAAAGATTAGGGTGCCAGAAGCAGAGTGTTATGAGACAGGTGCCCCTGGCCTGTGTTCCGTGCCCAGCTCCCAGTGTGCACAGTAGAAGACCCAACATGAATGAATTACAATGGTTGAGAGCAGATGATGCACATGCTGGGACCACGTAGGGAAAACTTCTGTCATTTCCTCTCCTCTCAGACTGCAAATCTCCCAGTCATGTGGTGAGCATGTGACTTACCCCAGTTCCAGCTCCAGGGACAGGCCTTTCATTTTCCAATCAGACAATCCCCTCCCTGCTCACCATGATGGAGTCAGGGGAGATGGTGTGGGTGGTCTGGTCCAGTCCTCGCGAAGTCTGAGATTCCTCTTCAATGGATCATGGAGGGCAACTCTCATTCAGGAGGGTTTATGGTGTGGATGTGATGCCTGGGACTGCAGGGACATTTTTGACCCATGTGGGATATCAGCCTGGGGACATGAGAGATCACGGAGAATGGACAAGTCAAACAAATCTCAGAGAAGGAGTGAAGTCCATTGAGATTACTCAGTTCACAACTACAACATTCCTGTCACCACTGAACAAGCAGGAAGGCTGTCGACTATATTTCCATCACAAGGATGAGCTCAGGACCTCAACCCCACACGTGTGTCCGTAGACCTTCATCCAGGAGGTACAACTCACTCACATTTTATCCAGTCCCCAAGGACTACCCTCCAAACCTCTTTCCTACCTCCCCTTCCTCACCTCCAAAAACATGTGGCGTCTGACCAACCTTCTCCACCTCACCTGCTCCATCCCGCATCCATGACTCTAGTCTGATCTTTGTACCAAATCCACAAACCCCACCAGGCTCCTGCTTTCACTCTCAGCTCCTCCTCACTCATCTTCCATGAACAGCTGGACTTAAACTTAATCAGATTCCTTATCTTCCTGGTCAAATCCTCTAATGGCTCCTATCCCCCATCCAAGCCCTGCCAATAATTGCTGTTCAGTTAATCGTGCAGATGGATGGACCACTGAATAGTGGCCTATACTGAGTCACACTTGCCTGGACTGTGTGTGTGTCCCAGCTTTTTCTCTCTCCCAACATGGACTCTGTCGTTATGGCAGCCCACTGCTGAAATTGAGAAATATCTGATAAATGTGACACAATCAGATAATATTTTGCCTTCACATACAGACTCTTGAGCACAAATTGGGAGGATTGGGCCACATGTTATAGACCATGTTCTCTGTAGTGGGCATGAGACTCTTGTTTTTGACCATGCAAACAAACAAGGGTACAGAAAAGCCACACTTCAGTGAGGACACTGTTTGCCCAAATACTGCAAGAGCCAGTAGAGCATTCTCTGTGCCTGCCTTGTGCAGCACACTGCCCTCTCTGTACCTACCCAACAACACACCTGCTGGTCTCAGATCCAGGGTCCATGAGCCCCTCTGGCTTCACTCAGCTCTCCTGGAGGGCATCCTTATTTTGCATGTGGATCTCTGTGATGTCAGTATCAGAATCATTCAATGAGTAGGTCTCTTATTGGAGACACAGGCTGAGATATAAAATGTCTCCAGATAACTAATGACCTACAGGCTCCTAAATAGAAGGATGTATTGCACAGTCCTGATGTTGCCCGATATTTCAGGATTAACTGACATTTAACTTTGCTTCTGCCAGTGCCTGGGGTCTCTATTAGTGTAGGACCATCTTAAACCAAGTTCAAGACCTAAAATCCTGCAATGAACCTTCTTGGTTCATGAAGAGAAAAAATCTATAAGGGATACCCTGGCAGGCTGACGTATGTTGTTGTCACTGCTAGTGTTGCTGCTGTTGTTGTGAGGGACTCCTGTTAGACCCCTCACCCCAATGCACAAGTACTGCTGGATGATGCCTCCCTTGGCCACTAGAATACAGTGCCATCAGGGAAATCGTGTCCTATCTCCTGCTGACCTCTCTGGGCTCATTTGCCCTTTGTTGCTGTTCTGGAGATTTACTCTTTTGTCTTCTGAATCTAGGATATATTTAGGGTTGTTTTTACTATTTTCGTCTAGTTTTATCATTATTTTCAGTCAGAAGATGGGTGAGTAAAACATTACTATGAACATTTGTCTTTTTCTGAGATTCATCCTCCTTCCTTGACTTGGTGGCATCCAAGATCTATCACCCAACCCATACTGGGTCCCGATCAGGTTTATTTGGTAACTGCTCCATATTCTGACATTCACGAAAGAACAGGGCTCTCTGGAAATTTTCCTGTAATCTCAGGGTTCTCTGTGATAATGAGGGTTGGTTCATAGACTCTAGATCCCAAAAAACTAAGGTGCCTTCAAATATCCTCTCACCACCCAAAAAATAAACAGAAAACAACTATAACTGCAAAACAATTAAGATTCACTGGATTAAACTGGGGAAAGGGAGGAGGTGATGGGCCTGAGAGCCAGGTAATTAACGGTAAGAGTCCTCTCCTGCGCCTGGGATCCAGGAGTTCCTCGAGGATGTGATCTGAGGAGAAGAAGAGAAACCCGTTTTGGGAAGGTTCCAGGGCTCAGGGAATGATCAGCAAAGCCAGGGCCAGGCTCATGGGACGTGTATGGGACTGAGCAGATGAGGCCCTGGGTCTCCGGGGTCACACTGGCTGGACTTCTCTTCTCCATGTCATCCTACCCAGCATGAGGCAGGGAGGTGTGATTGTAAGTTCTGGTGACAAAGTGATTTTCTTACATTGGAAAACGAGTAGTTAAATGGGTTGTTTTCATTGCATTGATAAATTTAGAATGACTCAAAAGCATCAGTCTCTCTGGTTTTAGTTGCACAAGTGACAGCAGAAGCCAAACCCTGGGCTGCTGTTGACCACAGGCAGGGACAGAGGAGAGTTAGGTGAGACTGCGGAGTGGAGGGCAGATCCTTGTCTCACTCCTCGCAGACTTGGAGTGGCATGGAGGTTGAGTGCAGCTGTTTGACAGTGACAATTAGCCTCATCATCATGCTGGTTCAGGAGGTTAGGATGACAGACCCAGATCTGGAGTTTGGTCTGGAACCCCTGAAGGCCCATCACTGCTGTTCTAGGTCACAGACCTAGGGGCTCTGCCTCAAAGTCGTTGGTTTTGGGGTTTCCATGACAACCTACAACGTTTGTGTTATTACAGAAGATGGTTTGGGTCCTTCTACAGAGCTTCACAGGATGGATTTACTTCATGCACATATTGGGGAGCTTCTGGTCCCTCATATTCCACTGAACCTCTCCTACACGTTGTCTAGCTGGAAAGGTCCACTGAGATATAAGAGGAGAGAAAAACTCACATCTGTACCTGTGGGCTCAGGAACACCCACTCACAGGAGTTCCCATGAGGCCTGAGTGAGATCAGCTTTAGGAAAGTCACGTCCACAGGACCTACTTCACCCGACTTCCATGGAGCAGGCTCAGCATTTTCCTCGCCTTCTCCCTGACATCACAACTGTAGGTCCAGGCACCCAGCAAGTGTGCCAGGCCAGCTCTGTGTCTGGAATTCCTCCTGGGATGTTTCTCACAAAAGCATCTCACGTTTTGGTGTCTTTTCCCTGAGCACAGTGAGCCTCAGCATAATCTGAGCACAGAAGCCTGGGAGGGAGGGAAGGTCTCTGCTCTGAGCCCTCACAGAGCAGAGTCCCTGCTGTGGAGGACTGTGTACCTCTTGCATGGACCCTGGGTTCCAATGAAGAAACAATCTAGAAGAGGCTGATTTGCCAGCTTTGAAGACAAAAACCCCAGCTAAAAATACTCTGATTTCATTACAGATGGGTCGTGAGGTAAAGATGCAGGGTCATCATGAGAATTTTATTTTATTTGGTTTGTTTTTCGTTTTGGTGTTTGTTTTCCTGAGTCTTCAGAAATATTGACTGGAAAATTGGGAAGACAGCCAGGTGAACCGGAACCTACTTTGAGATATAGTTGATGTGTATACACATTACTTTTAAATTGCGGAAGAACTTATTCTAGTGTCTAAGCAGACTGAGGTTTTTGTCCCATTTCCCTCTCTGCCTATGTCACCATGAGAAGCCTCACTGTGCCAGATGCACAGGCTGGATTCCAGAGATGAGCAGAAGCCCTGCATTGTCCGAGGCCTCCTTGGAACCATAGGAGCAGCTGGGGACCTGAAGCCCTGGTGCTTATCTGAATTTGTGTGGAGTAGAGGAGACACTGGCAACGGGTCCCTGGCTTCTGCTGGTACCAGAATGTATCTTTGCTGCCAACATTGATGCCACTTCTCAGGTTGCAGGTGAGTCTGCCTAATGTTCTGGGAGATGCAGAGAGGGAGAGCAGCTGAGTCAGCACAGCTGGGAGAGGGAACCTGCAGACTCAGACACTCATAGGTGATGGGGCAGGGACCCGGGTAAGGTTTCTCAGGAGTCTGAGCAAGAAGGGACAGAAACTGGAGGGCACCCTGTGCCTCCAAGGCCTGCTCCTACCTGTGCAGTGAGAGAGGAGCACGAGGAGCAGAGGAGCCCAGGCCACGGTGCACACAGCCCCCTGGTCCCCACAGTGGGGCTGGGCTGCCCCAGGCCTCCTTTTCTTCTCCATTTCTGCCACAAGAGGGGCTGCCCATGCAAATGGGTTTCCATCCAGTGCCTGCCCAGCCCCTCCCTGAGCCCTGGTGGTGGAGCTCATTTTACACCACAGACTGAGGAGGATGGAGGTCAGCTTTAACCTTTGGGAGAACCCTGGGAGGAAGCACCTGCTGAGACAACACAAGGGGCCCTGCTCGGGGAACTCTGCTGGGCCAGAGAGGACACAGCTGCTCAGTCCTCTTCAGTGAGCACTGGGCCCAGCCCCTAATTCTCACTGAGTATGTGTGTAAGGACCACAGGGCTATCCCCCAGTGCCCCCTGCTGGTCTCATATGGAAAACATGAAAAATGACAAAAAATTCTAAAAGATATTCTATTAAAAAATACAGAAAATGCATCCTTTCCTGGGAAGGCACAAGTTGGATTCATTAGAGACAGAACAAGTAAATGTATCAATTTCTTTAGAAATTATAGAAATACTCCACAGACTGACATGAGGCACAGATTCGCAGGAAACATCTAACAAGCTTTCAGAGATCAAATAGTTCGAATTTATTTCTTTTATATTTTCTCATATTTAAGTACATGAAAATTTCCATAAGCATCTTAGTTGATGGAGTGGTGAAAGGGGGCATTTCTGCAAAGATCCAGAATAGGCAAAGTGACCTTTATCTCTATTGTTACTCAACCTTGTTCTGTAAGGATTAAACTGCAAACGAAAGAGGTGATATCAGTGGCCAGGACTTGGCATTGATGAGAGTGAACAGTAGACATTCTTAAAGGCCCAAATGAATGTTACGGCCTTAGACACTCTGGTGCTGGTGCAGAAGTGACAGCAGAGATGTCCTCAAGGAGTGACCAGTCACTAACTGTGACTCGTGCTGGTAACAGTTAGTAAGAAAGGAGCAGTGGGTGGAACAAGGGGAGGGGAGACGAGGTCTTGACCCACCCACCTGGGGTGAAGAGCACCTTGTGAGCTCTGAGGTCACAGCCCAGGTCTGAGGGAGCATCCGCCTCCCACTCAGGCTGTATTCTATTTACTGTCAATCATCACATTTATGGGGCCTCTGTCTGGGAGCCAGAATAACCCACATGACAGAGGCTTCCAGTGCAGAAAGTGGTGACCTTCTGCCCAAGGGACCAATACACTGAGACAGAGGATGATGAGTCTGGGGTCAAAGCACCTGTTCCTGTGGAACTGAGGAGGAGGCAGGTCCTGTGTGACCCCAGGGGCTCCTTGCCCTAAAATCCGGCAAAGGACCCTGTATAAGGGACTGGGAGGGAAAGACTCCATGGCATTCTGGAGACACCACAGAGCTTCATCTCCTGAGGTGGCCCAGTGGGGATTCTGCCCACAAGCTGTGTCTTTCCTCTGCACAGATGTTCCTTTGGGAATGCAATCTGGCTCTCCCTTGTCTATCAGGTCCAACCTGCGTCACTTGGCCAAGGACTGCACAGAAAAATGAGATGACACAAATTTGATGGAATGTAGTCAGACAGCCAGACCCAACAGCTCATAAGATAATGGGGCCTTCACAGGTAAAGAAGTCACACATGAGTGAGGACAGAGTTTGCCCAACTCCCCTTGAGCCCACTGAGTGGTTTCCCAGCTGTCTGGTCAACACCCACCTCTGAGGAAAGCACCCTTCTTGGATTGAGGCAGATTTCCAGGATGAATAGAGATACAAGGAGACTCTGTAGCACTTGAATTCAAGATCATATGTAACTGTGACAACTTGGGGCACATGTGACTCAATCGGGTCAGGAGAATGATTCATTATGATCATTTAGTAGGAAAACTGATTGAGGAGAATGGGCCTTCCTCTGCTTGAGTGATAATAACCAAACTCTTCGGTGGCACTAGGAATCAAACACACATATTGGAATGGACTTCAGAGCTCATTTCACTGAATGTGCAATTTTTCAGATATAATATTCAATGACTCATGGATTTCTGTACAACTCTTGCTCCTTTGACTGATAGTAGTGCTTATATGAAGTGTGGATAAATTGGAGCACACTGCCGACTCTCCCTTGATGTGAAGTTAGATGCAGGAAGTGGCCAGAGAGTGATGGGCCCACAGAGGGAATAGGAGGGGCTGCATCTTGACTCCTCACAGAGCTGGAGCACTGTGTCAAGGTCACCCATGTCTGGGCCCAATGGTCAGTCTTATCTTAGGACAGGATCTAAGAGACCCTCGGGAAGCATTCCTTGCCAGACCTGAAGCCAGAGCTTCCATCTCAAATGGCTGAGACAAGAACTCCCAGGTCCATGTTTCTAGGGATTCTGCCTGGATGCTGTTGTTGCCAGGCCACACTGCTCATCTCTGTGGAGCTGCTTTTTCTGCGGCAGATGCTCCTGTTCCTCAGAACAACACCATGGGGGGACATGTCAGCACAGCCTGGAAGCAGGAATCTACAAGATATAAAACATAGAGGGAGGTGAGATTTGGGGTCCCTCCTCACTTTCTCTACAGCCTAATTCCCTTGAGAATTCATTGTACATGTTTGAGATTGGCAGAGATGTTGGTAAGTGAGGGAGAAATTGCAAAAAGAAGAAAGTCACCAGTATGGGAACGAGAAAATCCGAAAATAAACTGACAAGAAAGTCTTGCTGTTCCAATGCTGTGTAAGGAGGGGAAGACTCCAGGGAGGCCAGCTACTGACTCACTTTTCATTTCCTCAATTGAGCAAATGACCAGACACTAAGAAACAAAGGGCAACATAAAATTCCATCTAAACCTGACACTGCTGGATGGGTGAGATTGGCTCTGGTGTCACAGAGGTTGACTCTCATTCTCCCGGCCTGGGGCATTGAAAGAGGACTGGGACCCTTGGGATAAAGTGGTCAATAATGTTCACCATCAGACTTAATTATGATCAAGAGCTTCTGCTACTGGTGACATGGAGGAAAGTGAACCAAGATGCCAAGAGTATGTGGTTGTTTTAACTTGTCCTGAGATTTGATGCAGCATCTCTACACCTTGTTGTCTAAATTACAGTGTTCTAGCCCCTCTTGTTGCTTCTCCCAGGGCAGTAGATATTGGCTTTTTGTCCTGGAATCCCAGGTCCTGGAGGAGGCTGGGTCGGTGGGGAGACTTGCAGAGACCTGTGAGCACAAGGGAGAGTGCACATGGTGGAGAGAGTGGGGCAGAGCTGGGGAGGGGGCCTCACGAGCATGAGAGTCAGGATCCTGTGCCTGTGTGGAGTTTAAAGCCAATGAGGAAGAGGGGAATCCAGGATTTTGTGTAGACAACCTACAACTCTGTTCCTCAGGCCCAAGAGCTAAGACACAGCCACCTCACATCTCTCTCTCTACTCCATTTATGCATCATCCTCTTTGGTTTTTTGGCCCCTTCCTGGGTCCTGTTCTGTGGGACAATCTTTGATGAGTTGGAGGATGAGGAATTCTATGCTATGGGTCCTACAAAGGCCCAGAGAGGTCTGAGTCTCAAGGACACATAGGTCAGAGAATACAAGATCTCCCCAGGGACATGACTTCCCGCTCTATATACCCCCACAGGACCAGCAGACCATACCATGTGCTGCAGGGACACCCCCACAGGCTTTCCGAGACAGAGTGATGCAGCTCTTGGGGGTGTCTACTTCGTGAGAAGTGTCTTCAGATTGTCTTCCCAGGAACTATGGATGCAGGTTCCATGTCTAACTCTTATACAGTCAGAGTCAGAGGCCCTGAAATCCCATGCTGCCCCCCTCAATATAGAGCCTTTATGGTCCTGACTCTCCTCCAACAGGGTGCAGTGGCCTTCCCTGGGGTGAGGTGACAATCACAAGCACATCACTCCTGGTGCACATTACAGGGGACAACACAGCCTCATCACCCAGTGGTGCCTGCCCAAGCCTGCTGCACCCACCCTCTGCCCCTCAGCCCTCAGAGCAGCGTCCCCCCCCCAGCCTGTGCCTCTTCCCTGATCAAGCGTCTCTCCCCGCCTCACCTTGATTTCGTTCCTCAACCTTCTAATCTCCTTCCTGCGCCTCCCCTTCCTCAGACTCAGGTGGGGCAGGGGACACACAGCCGGATTCTCCCAGAGCTAAAATACCATTTACATATTTTCATAGTGTTTCCAATTTTTGTGTGTGTGTCAAATTTCCCACCATTATAAGAATATTTTACCCAAAGTCATTGTATTGATGGTATTGATCAATTTGGGAAGCATCGTATCTGGAACACATTGAATGTTTTGACACATGAAATGGATATATCTGTACATTTATTTATTTAATTTCTCAGAATGTTTTATAGTCTTCAGTGCATAATAAGTTAAAATTCTGTCAGGTTTATCCTTCTGTGTTTCACTTGTATGATACTATTGTAAGCAACATTATTTTTTAACATTCAATTTTGGTAGGTCTTTGCTGGAATACAAAATACAATTCATGGTTTCATGCGGGTATCGTACCTCAAAGCCCAGGTTGGAGCCCTCAGAGCAGAAGCATCTCTGGTCCCTCCAACCCCGTAGGAGGGCCCAGCCTGACTCAGCCTTTCTCGGGCTCATCCAGTTTCTCCATCGAGAGCTGTTTGTCTCCGAGCAAGGGCTCACTGCAGTGGACACGTTAACAGGGTGAGAATACACTAGCAATGGATTCATCTTAATTCTGAACTGAAGAAAACTATGTGATATTGTCAGATCAAGTTGCCTGAGGAAATTCAAGTGCTGACAGAAAAACAATGACAACAGAAGTTACTCCCTGAAGCAGACTTGGTCAGAGTCACAGCCGTGCCGGTGGCACAAGGCCAGGAGAGTGGATGGAGGCTTGCATCTCACTTCCTCGTGGGTGTGGAGCACTGGGTGAGCCTTAGGGCTGTCAAGCCACATATCACAGTAATAGTCAGCCTCGTCCTCAGGCAGGAGTCCAGAGATGAGCAGAAGCCCTGCATTGGCCGAGGCATCTTTGGATCCAGAGAGGTGACTGGGGACCTCAGAGCCCTGGTGCATATCTGAGTCTGACTAGTAGTACAGGAGACACTGAGCAGGGCTCCCTGGCTTCTGCTGGAACCAGTGTACCCAGTAGTTGCCAACACTGAAACCACTGCTCATGGTGCAGGTGAGTCTGGCTGTTGTTCCCAGAGATGTGGAGAGGGAGGATGGCTGAGTCAGCACAGAATGGGAGAAGGCACCTGAAGACACAAATAAACATGGGTGATGGGGCAGAGTCCAGGGCAAAGTTTCTCAGGGTCTGGGCCAGAGGGGCTGACACAGGCTAGAAACTGAGACGTGCTCCCCAAGGCCTGTCCCTACGTGTGCAGTGAGAGAGGAGCACAAGCAAGAGAAGAGTGCGGGCCATTGTGCACCTAGCCCCCTGGTCCCCACAGTCAGGCTGCATTGCCCCAGGCCACCTTTTCTTCTCCACCCTCTGCCACAGGAGGGGTTGTCCATGCAAATGAATTTCCATCCAGTGACTGCTCAGCCCCTGCCTGAGCCCTGGCACTGGAGCTCAGCTCACACCAGACACTGAGGGAGATGGAGTCTGGCTTCATCCCTTGGGAGAGCCCTGGGAGAAATCACCAGCTGAGACAACACAATGGTCCCTGCTAACGGGACTCTGTCAGGCCAGAGAGGCCCAATCAGCCAAGTCTGCATCAGTGAGCACACAGCCCATCCCTCAAAGGGCCCAGGCTGCTTTGAGTGGATGGTTCTCAGAGACCAGCTGTGTAGGGACCACAGGGCAGTCCCACACTGCCCAGTGCTTGTCTCAGTGCACACACCTCAAAATGACCCAAATCCCTGAGAGCCCAGCTGAATCCTGCAGCTCAGCAGGTCACTGTCCCTGTTTACACATCCATGGGCTCATACCTTGATATGATGATTTCAATACACTGTATAAGATTCTTCCAGTATCGCGTTCCCAGCAGGTGTCCCCATATATAGGAGATGCATAAAATGAACAAACGTGACATGGTAAGGTGTTAGCACCCCTAGGGAAGATGCCGCAAACATCGTATCTCTTCATTTGTATGTAATTAAAATTTGCATACATTTTAGGGTTCTATCTCTGATGCTTTAAAAGCAATAAGTTCAAACCACTCTCACATAAATTTATGTGTGTTTTAATCTCCCATTTTTTAGCTAATTTATTTGTCGTGCTGATGACAAATTAAAGCAGCACAGGGATTCCTAATATTTGCTGCTATGCAGCTCCCATCATGCCGTATTGTATTAGAATAAAGTCAGACCAGCAGATAAGTCATTAGATCCTCATTTGTTGGTGTCCTTCATCCATTTCTCCCTGGTCAGAATCCTCTCTTCTATGGACACAGAGCTTACAATCCCCATAATTCGTTCATGAGTTTTCCTGCTAGGATCCTTTGTAGCATTTGTGACTGAAAGGAGTAATGTTAGAATTTCATTGATCTTATGCTGGATCATGAGCTCTAAATTTGCATCTTGTTGGCAGTGGCTGTCTTACATGTTCTTAAGTGAAACCTCATCTGACATTCACCCAGCTCACCCACACTCTGCAGTCTAGTTGCTGATGGAACTTGTCTCCTGTACTCAGGGTTTGGTCTACCATCCACCTGCTCCCTGTGGGTTCTTTGCTCAGTACCTGGAGGCTCATCACGTCCTTCTTCACTTTCTGAACCCATGGAATCCAGTCCATCTGACTGATCACCTCCCCCCAAACTCAAGTACATGTTTCTCTCCTATTCTATACAAATATGATCAATGTTGTTACACAAATCTCCTCTTCAATCAACTCAAAATCTCAAACTCAAAATGAAAGCCAAAATCATTAACTTTGCTTCAGTTCTGCTCCTGTCCAAGAGTTTCCAATTCAGGAGAATTCAAATATTCATTCAACAAATGTGTGTTTAGTGTTTTGCGTGCGTCTGGCGGTATTCTGGGCTCTGTAGATACAAAACCGGAAAACAGATCTGTTCCCATGGAGCTTAGATCCAAGCAGGGGAAACACACAGTGACCAGAGTCACTAACCATAAAGATACAGCCTCCCTCGACTGATCCTTCCCCAGACGGTTATGTCCCTGGGAATCTGGAGCCCGCTCCTGACTGCTGAGAGCCTCTAACTCAGACAGGACGTGGACACTGAGCTTCCCATGCTCTGTCCACAGCCTTCCCTTCGTCTTCACACCTCCCTGCCTCATGCCAGATGCCTGAGTGCAGGTGCCCATCCCTGCTCACCTGGCCATGCAGAGTTCCTCAGTGTGGTCTTATCTATCGTGTTGTATGGTATATTTCATTATTTAAACTTTATTCAAAGGGACATTCCAAACACATGTATCTGATAAATCCACCTCTCTGCTTAAAAATCTGCCATAGATTCTCTCCCTGTCAAGATTAAGTAAAAATACTGAGTGCCCCATTCAAGGTGTCTATGTGTATGGCCACCATTTCTTCTCCTGCTTCCTGCTTCACCTCTCCCCCTGTAGCCTGTACAAAAGCATAAGCAGATCTTGTTTGCAAAGAGGATATTTAACCCTAGACCTTAGAGTACCCTTCTGAGTCCTTCTGGTCCCCCAGCTCCACCCTTGACCTCCTTCCCTCAGGACCAGCATCACACATCACCTGCTGGAGAAGTTTTGACCACACTCAGATGGTCATCTTTTCCAGAATGGAACATTCTGCATACCTGAGCATTTCCTTTAAAGCTCCTAAATGCTTTAGAGGAAATAGAAACTTGAACTTCGGAACTAAGAGTTTTCACATTGATTATGTAACTGTGTTGGTCTCTGATCTTGGGGAAAGGATTCAGTCTGTGACCATTTAGCATGATATTAGCTGTATAATTTTCATAGAAGCACTTTATCAGGTTGAGGAAATTCCATTCCACAATATTCGTAGTTTGCTGAGAGCTTTCATTTTTAAAATAATGAATGAATTCTGAGTGAATCAATGTTTTCACATGTGCCTTTATTGAGATGACTATATGTATGTATATATATATATATATATTCAGATTTTTCTTAGAGGGTGAATTCCATTGACTGATTTTCAAATGTTAAATCATCTTTGAATTTCTGGTGAACCACTTTTGCTGTATTATTTGACTCAGTTAGCAAATACTTTATTACATATTTGTATCTGTGTTCATGAAGAATATTGGTTTTTAATTTTCTTTTATTTTAAAGATTTTCTCTGGTTATAACATAAAGGCAAGCTTGTCTTCATAAAATACTTTGCAAATTATTCCTTCCTCCTCTGTTTTCTTTAGAGTTTGTATAGAATTCTTCTTCCTTCATATGTAAATGTTTGAGAAACTTCACTTACGGAGTAATCTGGGTGTGGGTTTGTATCCATGAGCAGGTCTGAAACTACAGGGATGAGCTACTTACATGTACGTAATGACCAACGGGGGTGGAGCAGAACTGGCTCCTCATTTCATTGGACAATACTTACAGGACGTGTGCAGGCCGAGCTTTCAGTAGGTTGTTATTTTACAGTCCATATTAATATCATTGGGGAAGCAAGATAAACTGTATTTTTTAGGTGCTTAAAAAGTTAATTCAGAGCTTTTGATAAAGTCAAAATATTGGGAAATATAATATTAAAATGTATTCATATCCAAATTCAAGTATTGTACAATCTCTTCCCGAATGTGGCACCAGCAGATAACCCATTATTTCCTTGTATCCTGTGGTCTCTTGGTGCTCACCTGGGAGCGAATGGCCCCATGAAGCCATATGCTCCGTCTGTGCCACCAAGAGGGCTGTGGACTAGTCAGTATCCACTGGGCAGGAACCTTCACTCAGTTCTGTATCTCCCAGTAGGCATTGTGCCACAGCTGGCCTCTTGTGCCCTTGGTTGGGAAGCAATGGCTTCCACATAATGTCTTCTCTCTGCCACAGGAGCAAGACCTCCAGGGTGCCAGCTGAGGGATCCTTTTGGTTTCAGAGCCAGGTGGGTGACTGGGACTCAGTGACCTCTTCCTGACTCTCCACCAACAGACCTCACTCTATCTCAGTTGGATTTTGTCCTGAGGTGGGATGACTTCCAGCCAGCACTCATATTTTTAATATAATATATTGTTTCTTTAAACAAGGAAACAAGAAAAATAAAAATTATATTGGCAAAGACAAGAAAGATACAGAGAAATTGCACCCACACTGACATTGCACACTTCGTTCCTCCTCCACCTCACAGCTCGTGCTGGATGCCTCAGAGAAAAGTCCTGTAGTGATGCAACCTCTAGCCCTTTACTCCCATCCTGGCACTGGGTGAGTCAGCTCAGGGGTGCTAGGAGTGTTTCTGGAAGCCAGTCCTACATGGGATGCTTTCTAATGGGTTAAAAATCATCTGAGCTATGAAATATATCCTTAGAGAACTTATGTTTGTGGGACCCCTCCCAGCTTCTGACTATAGTGTGAAACCAAGTCACAGTTTTCAGTGATGGCTTGAGATTTTAAATCGATCCCTAAGTGTTTCTGGATTTTTGAATGATATTTTGGGAGAGCTGAGTCATGGAATGTTACTCTGGCTGAATTTTAGAAAGAAATCCCCAGGAGTGCTTTCATAATAATAGAAGTAGAGTGGCTTCTCAAACTTTAGTGTTCAAAAATCTCCTGGAGAGCTCATTGAAATACAGATTGTTAGAGACCATGCACATTTCTGATTCAGGAGTTATGCCTGGGGAATTGCATTTATAAGGCTCCAAAGTAGCGCTCCCATTTCAGTGCTAAATGATGTATTAATTCAGTCTGTATGGTAAAATCAACAAATGATGTTCTTAATGGTCTTTGGATAAGAAGAGTCCCACAGGGAACAGTGGGGTCTCTGAGTCTCACTGTTCATTGAGGCCCAGAGGGAGAGAGGGAGCACAGAGTCAGAGGGGTCACACTGCAGAGATGGACACACCGTGGGACAGGCTTCAAGTGGCAGGTGACAATGGACCACTGGATAGAAGAATGGGGCCATGGAGCCTCCCTCCTCATGGTGGTGTCACCATCTCCACCCTCTCACTTTCTCTCCTGCCTCAAAGGGCGGGGCCTCTGAGCATATGAGGAGCCTGAGTTCATTTCCCAGTCAAGGATCTACACCACCCATCTGTCGGTTGTCATACTGTGGTGGCTGTGTGTGCCGTGGTGCTAAAACTATGTCACTGGTATTTCAAATTCCAGCAGGATCACCCACCATGAACAGGTTTCATTGGAGCTTCTAGATCAAGACAGAAAAGGAAGAATGACCTGGTCATCCGCTTCCAAATAAGGGGCACTAAAACCTTATGAATAGCAGCAGAGCATTGTCTGATATAGCGCCAGGAGATGAGAGGATGGCACAGAAAGACTGGGCAGGGTTTCACTTTGCAGTGCACAGGGTCTCTAAGAGTTGCAATTGACTCGGCAGCATTACCAACAAGAACAACAAAATAATAGACCGACAGATAAAACCGTATTATCTCAACAGATCCAGAAAGAGCCTTTGACCAAATTTAAAACAAATCCCTAATAGAAATCACATAAAAATAGAAACAGACAGACACACTTATGATATGGTAATATACACTTTCTCCCACACAGGCACAATCTGATCCTACAGCCAGTTTCTTAGCTAAAGGGCTGGGGGAGTGGGCATTTCCAAAAGACCAGGAAGAAGCAAAGGTGACTTTTATTTTCATTATTATTCAACATCAATCTGCCAGTGTTAGACAATGCAATTAAACAAGGAAACCCAATGTTGAGATCTTAGCATTGATGGGGGTGGACAAGTAGTTATTCCAAAAGACCCAGATGTATGATACAGATTTAGATACTCTGGTGCTGAAGGAGAAGTGACAGAAGCAATCTCCCAGTGAGCACAAAGAACTAATGAGTGGATGACATAGCTCTAGAAACTACTAGAATTAGGTAAGTGAGGAAAGATGAAGATGCAGGATCCCCTACACAGAGTTCAGGTCTGAGATGACCACACCAGGACCCCTCACCTCAGGCCGTGAGCTTCAGTGCAAAGAGACTACGTCCACAGCTGATGGGAAGTTGAAATTTCTCTTTCCTTTGAGCCCCTTTGCCTAAAAATGGGCTTCTGTGAGTGACTTTGAGTACAGAAGGGACAGGAGGAGGCTTCACTCCAAGGCTGTGCCCCTGGATGAGTATTGGCCTCTGGAGGCTGCAGGAGGAGAAGCAGAAGCCACAGGCTGAGCCTGAGTAGACAGCTGCTGGGTTGTCCCCGCTACTTGCGGATGACAAAAGGAGTTCTAGTCATACTTCCCCACAGACCCAGACTCTATGAGCGTTGAGGCTGCTGTCATAGGAGTGGCAACGAGGAACTGCCTCAACTTCAACCTTCAGCCTCGTGATGGTCAAGGGTTAACTAGTCTCATAACAGATGAGGAGTTTGGGGCCTATTCCTGGGAGCTGTTGGGACGAGGACACATTTTGGACACTTCTGATGTGTCCTGACTCAGAGACAACTGGATTCTGTGTCCCCGGTTCTACCCTGACCCATCATGGACTCTGCCCTCAGGGAAGCCTGTCTCTTGCATGCAGGAAATTCTATTCCATTTGAGAAAATCACACGATATGTTGTTGCCAAGAACAGGCTCAGGGGCACAAATTAAGGGGATGTGGACAGATCTTCTATACAAGTTCCCTGCAGTGAGTCTCAGACCAGTTTCAGGCCAAACAGACAGAGGAAGCATCTGCCCTGGCTGAGTAGTGTGGGCTGCACAAGGAAGCCCCGTCACTGGGAGACAGCAGGGTTTTGACTCTCTTCCCCACAGGCCTGCAGCACTGCGTGAGCAGTTAGCCTGCTGTCTCATGTTAAGCGGTAATAATCAGCCTCGTCCCCAATCTGGAGCCCAGTGATGGTCAGGGATCCGGAGTTGCCAGACTCAGATCAAGAGAATCTATCAGGGACCCCAGAGGGGTGTTTGCTGTTCTCATATGTCAGGAGTTTGGGGGTTGTTCCCTGGAGCTGTTGGTACCACGACACATAATTGCCATCCCCGATGTTGGAGCTGCATCCGGTGCAGTACATGGTGACCCTCAGGCCAGGGGCCCCAGTTACTGATGGTGGCGGAGTCAGCACAGACTGGACCCAGCATCCTGGAAGAGGGAGAAACAGAGATGATGATTCTGGAGCAGGGCCCCATGTGTCTACCCAGGGCCCCTTCCCCTGTTCCAGTGTGTCGTCACCTGCTCAGTGAGCAAGGACGGTGAGGAGGAGAGGAGACTACGCCATGGTGGAGACTATCACTGAGTCCCGCCTTCTGTGGCCCCACAACTGAAGCAGGGAGTCTCCCAAATTTTCTCGCTTCCCCTCTTCAATCTCTGAGAGAGGGGGGGCACACTCACGCAAATGAGATCCCCCAGGTTTCTGATCCCTCACTGGTCCTGGGTCAGGTCCATTTGTCTGAGGATGGTCAGGGGAGGGGGCAGGGGTGGGACCTGTGGGGCCCAGAGGAGTGTGGAGGTCACAGCTGTGAGCCTTGAGCAGAGGGCCCTACACAGTGCCAAGTGGCTGGTCTCAGCCCTGATCACCCACAGACCCTCAGGAATGGGCCTTGAGCACCCCTTAGGGTCCAGGCACAGAGTCACCATTGTGTGACATGGTAACCAGAACCGATCATTGACAGCTCCCGCCTCTCCACTGCTTTGTCCACTACCCCCCTGCCTTAGGGTCAGGCCAGATATTCCCTTATGTGGCCTCCGCATCACCTCCGGGCAGTCGTTATTCTCTACTCAGACTCCTCAGGGGAGAGTCTGTCCCACCTCCCTTGGCTGATCAGTGGTCAGCACTGAGGTGGTACCTCTTATACAAGCTCCTCTTAGACGAAGATCAAGTGCAGAGCACTGATGGGCCCCTATGGAGGCAGGTCCTCTTCTGTGCAGGACACAGGCTTCTTTCATTTTATGCAATTCTTCTCTTGTTAGTGACTAACCAGTGTCTCTCCAGCACACAAAAATATAGCTTCAAAGGCCCTTTTCCAGGAAGACTCTAAGTACTTCGTGTGTGCTATGCTCTTTCATCCAAATTTACCATTATAGTGGTCTCATTAATAAACGAGTTGAATAAAATATTTTAAACTTGTTCATTCTCTATTTGTGTGAGAGTCAGATATCTACCACTGTGAGTCAGGCTAACTCTGATCCCAGCTCCCAGGAAACAGAAGAGGAAAGTGACTGGGATAGAGCACCTGCAACCAGGATCCTGTGAGGTAGAGAAACTCAGCAATGGCCCCTAGGTGACCTGGG